GGTGAAGTGTCTGTTCATATCCTGTGCCCATTTTTCTATTGGATTATTTACCTTTATCTTGTTGTGATGCTCAAGTATTTTATAAATTCTGGATATAAGTCCCTTATCTGATAGGTCATTACCAAATACTTTTTCCCTGTTGATAGCTTCCCTTTTTACCCTGTTGGAGAAGTTTTTGGATGTGCATAGGGATTTGATTCTTAGAAGATCCCATTCATCTATTTTATCTTCTCTTGATTGTAGGTCCATTTATTATTAAAACTGATTTGGCAGCATATAATTTTATATGTTGGGAAACATTACCAAACCATTTGGCCTAATTTGTGCAGAGTTTATGCTGCTCATCCAAGGCCCAGTTCTCTGACAATTCGAATCTGCCATCAGATTCTTGTGAGAAAGATGGTAGCTTCCTCTCATGCAGTTTACAGCCTCAGAATCCTATTTTGGAGAGTCACCTATTACGAGTCTGTTCCAGTGACGATGAGTACAAGTGCCTTAGAATGATACTGACTGTACTTGTTAGTAGCAGAGATGTTCCTTTAAAAAGCAGAAAAAAAAAGACGGAATCAATTTAATTAATTAAATTCTTAAACTGTTAACATGATTCAGTGTTGCATGGAGTTGAGCACAAATATGCTCCATAAATGCTTTTTTTACTTAATCAGATATCTGACAGTGTAGGGAAGTTTGCCAGAAAGTGGAGTGGCAAGAACTGATCTTTATGTTGTGGGAGGGGTTAAAGGAAAGGCATGCTGAAATTGAGAAGAGATGAGAGTTAAGAATGCTATTAGAAATTAAGTAATGGTAACTTGGATATAAAACAAAAAAGAATGCTAGTTATTGTTAACCAGGTTTATTTAGAAATCTCAATGAAGTAGTTTTAAATATGTTCAGAAAGCTCATTACCTAGGGAACTATTTTAGTTATATACAAGATTTGTTTATCATTCAACTTTTTGGAATATGTTATCTTAATGTAAGCAGTAGGATAATTTCCCAATTTTTAAATAAAATCTTTTGGAGAAGAATTTAGCAGAAATTGTTGATCAAGGAGCTTGTGAATGAATCAGTCCTCTATGGTTTTCATCTGCTTCTCAAAGTAGCTTGTGATCCCAGAAGAATAATGGCTTGTAGAGCTCAAAGTCAAAGCCAATCAC